GTAGCCATCCAACCGCTCACCCGCGTCAGCGAAAAGGTGCTATTTTATCACGGGTTCCGCAGGGTGTCAAAAAGGTTTCAAATTCAATGGCACTCTCTTTAAATAAATACATTCGAAAACGTTACAAATACAAGGGTTCTGGGATCAAAGAAAATGATTTATTATGCAAACTGTGTTATATGACGGAAGAACGTCGTGTGTCGAAGAAGAAAACAAATGATGCCAATATTATCGATGAGGATACGCAAGCAAATGTATCTTTGGTAGTCTCTCAACCAGTGTCACTTGCTCGAAAAAGATCAAACACGTTTGCATCGTTGTCTCAGGCTGGACCTGACGACATGAACCAAAAGAGATCTCTTTTGTCACATGATACGCCTTTCTCTTTTCTCAAGCACGCCCTGGTGGATGTACAATCTACACCGTCATCGCTGGACGCATCGTCACAATCAGATTTTGAAACAAAAATTGAATATTTTATTAAATCTGACAAGCAAAAGTTTAATGATTTGTTAGAAGCCGTGAATTTGTCTCCTGTAAAAGACACGTGAGTAACTTCGCGATTTTCTGCCAGATGTGTTAATTTTCTTTTCTTTCCTCTTCGAGTTTTCAGTCGTCTAGCTACAAAACTACAGGAAAAAAGTAATCAGCTTCTAAAAGAAGTAAAGCAAGTATCTGTTTCGGTGAGCAAGCCAACCATCACCTCAACTGCCGACATAACTCTTGCCAATGATATTAGTTATGAAGATATGGAGATTTTAGTTGCAGGCTTAAAACAATTAATTTTATCGAGTGATTACTGTGAACGGATACGAATGCTAACATTGGCACCACCAGTATGGAGCCGACGAGACATTGCTCAGCAGTTTTCAGTGTCGGAATGGGAAGGTCGTATGGCCATCGATTTGAGAGAAGCACACGGAATATTAGCAATATATGAAAATACTCAAGATCGGAACAAAATATCACCAGAAACAATTGAAAAGGTTCTGGAGTTTTACGAAGGTCAGCTTTTGGACGATCACCGGGCTTATTTTTATGTATATAACTTCTTTTGTTTTTCAGATGATACAATTAGCCGGTATTCCTCCAGTTCAAAAGATACAATAAATATTAGACAACTAGATGGAACAAAAAAACCGATTGGATGTCGATTTATGTTAATGTCGTTAACGGAAGCATTTGAGTTATTTAAAGTATGCAAATTTTCGTGATAAGAAAAACATTTATATCCTATTTAACTTCCGCTTTTGCGTCTAGATTAAATATCAAAGTGATCAACACGTGAAAATAGGCCATACAAAATTTTGTTATTTATGTCCTCGTTGGGTAAAGTTAACAATTAGGAAAAATGTGTGCTTGTGTATATATCACGAGAATTTTCGATTGTTGTTAGTGGTAAGATACGATCGATCTGCTTTCATTCATTCTTCAAACATGTAATTTTCTTGTAGACAATTTCTACATTGATTCAAGAATCAACGAAAACAAAACATTTCGTTGAAAAACTTATTTGTTCCACAGAAAATAATCAATGTATGTTCGGTGAATGCGCTGTATGTCGCACAAAATTACCTTCGTTAGAAATACCGAAATTATATCCAAATATTGATCTAGAAGAAGATACTTCTTGGATGAAGTGGACTAAGATGGAGGATAGAGTGGATATCCACCGGATTTCTGGTAGTATTCGTGCCTTGTTGTTTGAATGCGACAGTCAGTGGTTAAAATTTACCACGCATAGCTATATCACCACTACTCAATTTGAATATATCAAAAAAATAAAAGAATCATTGGATTCAGAATCGGCCATCTGCCAAATGGACTTTACGGAGAATTATGTAAGTTTTAGCAGTATTTTCATTCTCTTTCCTTGGTATTAGCTGGATTACTCTCAATTTAGGGCCTTGAGGTTCAAAATGAAATTATGAGCAAGCACTGGTCAACATCTCAGGCTGCTCTCTTCACTGTTCAAATAAAGACAAAGGATCAGGTAAGCTGCAGTTAAGGCCTTACTTTTTCACGAAATCTCATGCACTTTGCTCGACTTTCTAGACCTCGAATATTGTCATAATTTCAAATTATTTAAGTCATGATACAATGTTTGTTCATTGTTCACAAGGTTTGATTTGTGAATATGTGAAGCTTCACTTTCCATCTGTTAAACGAATGATTTATTTGAGTGATGGTTGTGGAGCCCATTTTAAAAATAACTATTCAATGATGAATTTAATGCATCACGAAGAAGATTTTGGATTTACAGCTGAATGGGTGTTTTTTTCAGTAAATGGAAAATAGTTTATTTTTAATTAGGAAATAAAACGTCCTTTGCTTTAGACATCGCATGGTAGAGGCGCAGTTGATGGCCTGGGAGCTGCAGTGAAAAGTGCGGCTCGACGATCGACAATGAGGGCTGGTGGACCTGAGAAATCGTTGACCACACCACTTGAATTGTATCATTTTTCTGAGGAAAAATTTAAACCAAAGCAAGTGCCATCAAGAACTGGCTCTTCTCACTCGACAACAACCACAC